ACGTTCATATATATATATTTATATATATTTATATATGTATATATGTATATATTTAGATAGTGCCTATCTAAAAAATGAGGCACGGTCGAGGAGTTTCGAGCCGTGCAATGAAACGTGACATGCACACGACACTTAAACGCGAACCGATTACAACGCTACACGCTATCCTTCGATGAAAGTCGGTTAAGGATCCTCGCGAAGAAGTGTAACGCATTTTCTTTTCGCATTCACCGTTCGTTCTCTGTGTTCTGTGTGTATATGTATGTGTGGGTGTAGATGTGTGTATGTGTAACCCTATGCAGGCGCGACACCAACACGCTCTCCTTTCAATATGGCCGCCGCTATGCGCACGCAAACGCAACACACCGGTGCCCTCTCTCTTTCACATAGACGTACTAAGAGCGGTGAATCGGACCGGTAGGCCTTGGACAGTATAAACGCGAACCTAGACGAAGATTTCTTTTTTTTTTTCGACGCGCAAGAGGTCGAGAAGTACAATGGAAAGAACGAACTTCAGTTCTGAAGTAGAAATGCGTGAATGCTCGCCGTGTTTCTTCCGTTCGTCGTTCTCGCGGCGTTAGTCGGAAGTAAACGCTACGGCTTGAACCTTTATGGGGACGCAAATGTCTCTTGAGATTTGTAGAATTCTTTTCTTTTCTTCTTTTTTTTTTGTATAGAATATGTAGTATATAAAAGGATGAGAATGAGAAGAGAAATTTGTTTTTTTTTTTGTTTTTCACATTGATGCTCTGTGTGCGTACCGGTGTTAGCATTTTGCTTCTTTTTTTTCTTTTTTCTTTTTCTCGTAGCTTTCGCTAACCGTGATTTTGTCGTTCTTCGTTTTGTTTTTTTTAGGTTATATCTCTCGATGCAATAATAATAGATCCATTTCTGTTACCTATAAGAGATTTCTTTTTGGATTCTAGTGCTATTACGTTTAACCTCTCTCGTGTGTTTTATCGATCATATCTAGGATTAGTGTGTCTCAAGACTTTCGCGATACGTCTCTGTCACGTAGTAAGTACAATTAAGAAATTCGAACTCTATAAGTTAGTTCTACTATTGCTAGTTCCCTCGTGTGTGTTATACTCGATTACGACGATAATGCGAATTAGTAACTCGAAGAAGATCATCGCGGTGTAATATATGTATATATGTATATATACTTTCCTTAGGACATTTAGCGTTAGAATCGTTCTTTTAATCGTAAAGTAAGTTTCTCTATGTTTCAGCGATGCAGTGACGCGGATTCGTGATTCATCTGTTTTCCTTTCCCCTTCAAGTAAAATCGTGAACTCGTATTGCTATTAGAATCCTGATGTTATATCGATGTTAAAGTGATACAAATTGGTTATTTCAAGAATACCTTAGCACTATGCCCTGTCTGTAGCACACCGATTAGTCCGAACCCTTTTCTTAATATTTCTGCATCGATCTTCCAACCATCTATCCTTCCACGCAATCCTAATTAACATTTTCAAGAGTTTCTTCTCTCGTTTTTTTTTTCTTTTTTTGTTTTTCTGGCAGTAATATACTTTTCCTTCAATACGTCGCATCGGAGAATGCAGCTCTACTATGATTGGTTAGTTTCACGAGAATACCACGTGTTCTGAGTATGTTGTTTTGATTGATTCGTAAATTAGGATTCCAGGAGTGTGTTTCCGCCTCGTCGTTCCTCTCACGATACACATTTTTTTCCGTTCCTTTCTCTCTTTTCTTTTTTCTTTTCTTCTTTTTTCTAACAATGCGTCCGCATAAAATCGTTCACGCTGCCAACGTTCGTCCGAACTGTCGCCGCGCAGGCGCGAGACGCGCGCGTCCTTGCGCACGCGCAATGCGCCTCCGCTGGTTGGCGTACTTCACCGCGCGCTATCCTAGGCTACCCTATATGTTCACCTATAAGCAATAGAATTATACATACCTATTTATACTCTCTATTAACGACAATGCGTGTAGAAAAATGAGCCTCTCGCGTCTTTGGTTAAACGCGAAGCATTTAGAAAGTATTCTGGCAGTGGTTTTCGTAGATGCTTCGATCTTAGCCTCGGACCAAAAATTTTGATTTCAGTTTCAAATGGGGAGTGTACAATCGTCAGAGTCTTCGCGAATTTATCTTTCCGTATCCTGGCCACTTGTTGCCTCTTTTATTTTTCGTTCGACCCTTGTGTGTCATACTTTTTCCTTTTTCTTTGCTTCTCGAACTTTCTTTGTTAAATTCCATCGATATTGTGCACGCGATCGAAACTCTGCCTCTGCTCTGCTCTTTCCTGTTCTTTTTTCCTCTCTCTCTCTCTCTCTGTTTCCTTTTTTCTCTTTCTTCTTCCTCGATCGATATTCAACATCGAGAATTCTCCGAATTGTATAATAAATTACACCGATGACAAGGTCGAAGTTATAATATGCTTTGTGTGTGCAGTCCTCTGTGCTAGCTGTCTTTTGTGACACGGATTAAAACCACTTTTTTTTTTGTCTTTTTTTGTCTTTTTTGTTTTAGTCTCTAACCATCATCGAGAAAAGGGACGAGTGTAAAATAAGAATAGATCCTACGTATCCTAGTTTTACGCGTGAAATTCATTCGAAGGAAATTCATCTTATCCTTTGGCATGTCACTTTTGGCCTTCTAGTCGAGGGTCAGTTTTCCTTCTTCTTTCGATTCGAGTTTCTTTGTGTTTTTTTTTTGTTTTTTTTTTATGTTGTTTTCCTATGTTTCTGTGTTATCGTGTACCTGGTGTACATTTTATATACATATATATATCCGCGGAGACAGCGCGTCAGCCGGGCATATATATATGTATGCATGCGTGTGTTTTGCGTGTGGTATGTTTCTGTATATGCGTGTGTTGGAGTGTGTGTTACTTGTAAATTGTGTCGATTCACAACGCGCAACGCAAGTGACTGCTCAGACAATGGCACAAGAGCAACGTGTTCCGTAAGGTGAAGTCGTTTAGGTCTTTCAGATGTGAACTAGATCTTCGCTGTTGCGAGGCGATCACTTCGTTCCCGCCTGATTTAGTTCACGAATAGATGGTGATCACTTCCCGTCCGCCGCCGCGCACCATCAGCACCCTCTCCAGACCCTCGGTTAGGACCTCCAGGAATTCCATGTCTGTGGTGGCAGTTGGTTAAGGAAATTGATGAAAACGAGAAATAGGAGAAACAGAGAGATTGAAATACTCTGGGGAAAATTCTATAGTGTGAGAGTGGGGTAAGAAATGAGGGTCCTAAGGTCCTTTTATGAGTCCTCAAGTAGGGAAAATAGAAGAATTTCAATACTCGAGGAAGAAATGAGGGGCCTGGAGTCCTCAAATAGGAAAAACAGAGAAATTTAAATACCCTTGGGAAAATTTAATAGTGTAAGAGTCAAGGAAGAAATGAGGGGCCTGGAGTCCTCAAATAGGAAAAACAGAGAAATTTAAATACCCTTGGGAAAATTTAATAGTGTAAGAGTCAAGGAAGAAATGAGGGACCTCTCATGGGTCCTCCAGTATGAAAAACAGAACAGTTTAAATAGTGTAAGAGTCGAGAAAGAAATAAGGCACCTAAAGTCCTCTCCTGAGTCCTCAAATAGGGAAATTAGAAAAATTTAAATTCTCTTGGAAAATTTAATAGTGTAAGAGTCGAGGAAGAAACGAGGGACCTGGAGTCCTCAAATAGGAAAAATAGAGAAATTTAAATACTCTGGAAAAGATTTCTAGGAAGAAATGAGGGACCTAAAGTCCTCTCCTGAGTCCCCAAATAGGAAAAACAGAGAAATTTAAATACCCTTGGGAAAATTTAATAGTGTAAGAGTCAAGGAAGAAATGAGGGACCTCTCATGGGTCCTCAAATATGAAAAACAGAAATATGTCAATAGTGTAAGAGTCGAGGAAGAAATAAAGCACCTGAAGTCCTCTCATGAGTCCTTAAAAAGACTCTAAACTATCCTTTATCAAGTTACCCTCACTTATTCCTCATTATCGCTCCCCCTAATTAACTATACAGATCACGATCGCACATTAGCTCGACAGAAAGGATACAATTCGATTCACGTTCCATTTCGGTGTTCCTCGGTGGTCCAGGAAGGTTCAGGATCACCAACTGGGCGTTTTTGCTCTTCTTCACGATCACCTCGTTCAGCTTGACCGAAGTGTGCATACGTCTCACGTCGCACTCGTCGCTGAACAACGATAAAACACACATTCTCAACAAATATTCACCAATGTAAAACATTAAGAAAAAATGATCGTTCAACGCGTACTATGTAGGTGTCTTAGACTTCGGACTCTCAGTTTTCTTCTCCTCGCTCTCCTTCGCCTCTTCCTCCGCGTTCTCCTTGTTGTCCTGTTTAGGCGAACCTCCGATCAGCTTCGTCTCCTCGTCGTTACCCTCTTTAGCCTCCTCTCCGCCGGATTCGTTTGTCTCTCCCGTCTCTCCCTCTTTGCCAGCTTCCGTCTCTTGCACCAATTTCTCCTGCGCTTCGTCCGTCACGTTCGCGTTCTGGCTTCCAGGCTCTTGGAATCTCACTTTGGTCGCCACCTTCACGTCCACGTTGTGATGATGGTCCACGATCGCTTGCACCTGTGTCAGGATTAAAGTTGCATCGGTGAATATCTGCGACGGGCAGAACTGTGTCCCGAGCAGCAGGAGACAGTCAGTGTTTTTTTTTTTTTTGGTTTTTTTCGAGAAAAAAAGTCGACTAACTCTAGCGTCAAAGCACTCTATTATTATGAATTCGACTAAATGAACGATCGCTAAATGGAAGCATTCTCGGCTATGAACGTGCCAATCAAAAGCTGAAACGTTTGGTTGTTTCGGAGAGAATCATGGTCAAGGGAGGTGTGTACGTGTGTGTGTGATAAAAATCGTAATCGGATGATTAGAATTGGAATGAGAGCAAGAAAGCAAACTTGTTGGAGGGTTTTTCTGGATCAACGAAAGTAAAGAACAAAAACGAGAGAGAGAGAGAGAGAGAAACTCGTAGCAAATTAACAAAACCAGAGAGGAAAGACGAAAGAAAAAGAGACGTAGAAAATTAGATCGCGAATTCGATCGATCAACCGACGAGGAATCGTGCGTTGTTCTGGAGTGACGATTCCCGTCTCACCTCCAAGAGTTCAGTTTCTTGATGCGGAAGTGGGGTTAACTCGAGTCGATCGTTTTGTTTTCGTACATGTATGCGTGAGTATGGGCGAACGTAGAAGAAAGAAAAAAAGAAAAAAAAAGATAGAGAGAGAAGGTGAAACGAAATGCGTATTTTGGTTACGAGAGAGACAGCTTCGGAATGAACGGGGGATTCATGGACACGTGTGTCTCAATTACACCGACACACAGAGAGAGAGAGAGAGAGAGAGACAGACAGAGGGGATAAAACAGACGAAGGAACTCCGGGAATTGTCTGACAAACCAGAGGTAAATTTTCTTCGGCGGGTACCTCGTTGAAGTCCACCAATGTCTGCACCTTATCCGTGACGAGCACGCAACAAACAGACACAGACCGATCAGTAATCGTCATAGCCGTAGCAATTTCTTATTTAAATATATATATATATATATTTATGTACATTCATATTGTCGAACATCGTTGGCTCAACGATCCTGCCACTTACCACTCCAAGGGATTGCTTCTTGCTCAGCCGCAGCTCCCTCAGCATCTGGTTCCTCTGCTCCATCATCAGGGTCCTCTCGTACGTGTACGCGGATATATCGGAATCCATCTATGAACACCGTTCGTTGGAAATGCTTAGTTTCTAATTAATTACAATTATCCAACAATGTTCCCCAGGTTAGTGTGACTGCTTTTGGAACCAAGAAAGTATATACAGGGTGCTCCAACCGAAGAAGGCTACCTAAGTATCTTCTTTAAAGTGTCCTCCTTCCAAATCATTGAAATTGTGTTTTAAACATTTCTCATGTCATGAAAAATAAAGGAGATATTTAGAAGAGATCTGGTTTCATTCGAGACACCCTGTATATTAAGTCTCGAGCAGCGGAGATGTGAACGTTACACTATCATTTTTCTACTTAGTTCCTCCGAACGATGGACTCTGAGAACTTTGCCCCATCGATCTTCAACACACAACTACTAACCACGGTAAAAAAAAAAGATGATTAGAAAATACAAACGAACGTGTAAAAGTTGCTAACTGATACCACTCACCATTTCTACAATCTCCACTTCAGCCTCGATCCTCAAGTCGTACAGGAACTTCTTGAGGTCCTTCTTCATCTGGATCGAATTGTCCTCTATCTGAGCCACGGTGAAGATCCTCATCTTGCAGTTCTTCCACGTACGGTGTTGCTTTGTAACAGCATCAGTAGACCACCGTCGTGCACGATCCACCAGACGTCGATGTTTCCGACAACCTTCTCCGTCGAATCGGGGAAGAAATTGATTCCTTTCGGCACCAGTAACGCCATCCTGGCTGCTGCAACTGCTCTGACAGTTTGCAAGAACACTCTCCAAGTTCTGTTGTCACTCTCCTCCTGCGATTGCTTCCAGCGATAAGGCCAGCCAAGGATCACGGTGTTCGGCTTCATTCCGCCTAATCCAGTGGTCTGTACCAGAGAACTGAGACCGTCTACGACGTCTTTGGCCACCAATACGTCCACGAATCCTTTCACCCTCTCCTCGCCGATTGTCTTGCGCAGATTCACCTTCGCAGCCAAGGTTTTGCCGGTGTTCTGAATGTAATCGCCGCTGATACAGCTGACGCAAATCGTCAGACCTTTTCCAGCCTTCAACTGACTGGCGAACGCGAACAACTTGCGATACTTGGGCACCAGGTCGTCTGTCAGCTTAGCCAAGATCAGAATCTGCGGCCTCCAGTTCTTCGTGTGAGGCGGTCCTTCTTCCAGTCTCAGAAGAGAGTAACGAGCAGCCGACAGTGCTAAACCGCGAATACCGTCTCCCCATTCTTTCTCAGCACCGCGGTATTCTATGTACTTGTAGATGCAACCGGCCATTCCCATGGCCAGCAACGCGTAGTACCAGCTGGTCATGAACATGATGGCGATACAGAGAGACAGTCCGAGGAACGAGAGGCTCCAGTGGTAGTACTTGAACCTAGGTCGCCAGTTTGGTGTTCTGAGGAGGGTCTGCAGGGCGCATGCAAGGTTCACGAAACCGTAACACATGAGGAAGAACATGGACAACAGAGGAGCTAGGTAATCGACGTTGCCAAGAAGAATCCCGCCTTGACATATGAGGACAGTGAGTACTAACGCTCTCGTCGGTTCACCTCGACTAGAGCTTGTGGCGAACGGTGTTAAGAAAGGAATTATACTGTCCTTCGCGATGGCTTGAAGCAATCTTGGAGCTCCGGTCAGAGATTGAAGGCCAGCACCGAGCGTGGAGAGGAAGGAACCGATCAAGATGACCCATTGATTAGGCCAGGCCATGTTCGCTACCACCAGTTTGCCGCCGATACTTTGGCCGAATTTGTCTCGAAGCAGAAGATTGTCTACCGTGCCGGCGAACAGGAGGACACTGGAGAGATACACCGTTGAAGTTGTCAAGATGGCGCAGATGGTACCGATTGGGATGGATTTCTGGGCGTCTGCTAGGTCACCTGATCTGTTCGAGCCAGCCATGATACCTGTGAAGGAAATGGACGAATGGGAAGGCATTAGTTATGCAGATTTGTTTGTTTATTTATATATTTGTTTGGGAGAGAAGTAAGTTAAGGAGAAGAGGAATAATAACGATAAGGTCGAAGACGAAAGTGATAACAGGAAAAAAGAGAATGGAAAGAATAGTAATTGGAAGATTTTGCTTTCAGCTTACCTGTAACCGAAGGGAAGAAGATACCGATGAGAATGGTGAAGGTAGTAGTGAGATCGACTTGAATCTGGTTATACGAGGATGCAGACATGATGTCAATGTCCTTAGGGTCCTTTCCGTAAGAGATCAGCTGGCCTTCCTCTTGGAAGCTGTCCCAAATGTTCTCTGAACAAGGTAGAATCGATGTATTCAACGATATTCCACGTTTCCGTATCGCTTGAAGGTTGAAACATTGTAGAATTCAATTTACCTAAGAATACACCGCTAGCTAAGCCACGAATTCCGTTAACAATGGTCACGTTGTTTTCCATGTAGTAAGGATCACATTTGGTGCCGTTTCCACAGTAGAGATAATGAAGAACACCGCTGACGTTCTTGTTGCAATCCCGGAGAACGTTGATATCCTTCAGCAACCTTTTACCAAGAATGCACATTCTGAAACAGGCAAGAATTTTCTCGTCTGACGACAGTTTCAACGTTGCAACTTCTAGAGTAGACGTGTACTTCTGTGATACATTAGTCGACATTACTGTTCCCGCCGTCGCAACAAAGTTCGACCGTGAAAACACTCAACGAAGAATGTTAATCGTACAGTTACTAACTTGAGAGCCTCGCTGCCGTAGAAGTTGTAGAACAGACCCACGTAGACTGCCACGATGGAGAAGATGACACAGGCAAGGGCGACTGTAGCGAACTTGTTCACGAATTTCACGCCAACGAACACTATAGTGCCCATCACCAATAACAGACCCGTTCCGTACACGCGAAAGTTGTTGTACATGATGCTTGGATCCTTGGTGAAGTCGCCGAATATACTCAACGACGGTGCCATGTACGTCTAGAAGAAACGACGATTAATCGTAATTTAATTGCGAAGTCTGAGAATAAAGTTTAGAGGATTTTTAGCAGGGCTGTTCAGGCAGACCTGCTACGGGCGCCCGCCGCTGCCCGCGGGCAGTTTCACCGCCCTACGGGCAACTTGTTGAGCATCATTGATTTAGAGGTTAGAATGATTTACCAAAACGATTTCAACGGCACCGATGATGTACATGGCGGCAGCTAAGGTGGTACCAGTGTAGAATAACATCCCCACAGCACCACCGAACTCTGGACCCAAACTTCTGGATATCATGAAGTAGGACCCTCCAGCTGGAACCACTCCATTGGTCGCAATGGCGCTCATACTGATAGCCGTCAACATTGTCTGTTTGCAAAGAAAGATATTTCTAATTGTTACACGAAAGGATAGATAAAACGAAATTGGGGGACTGGAAGATTTTTGAATATCACCTAAGAGTCAGCTAAGACTAGAAATTCTACCGAAAAATGTTTCAGACAAAAGTTGAACGGTGTCAAGTGGAACTCGCACTCTGTATATCGGTACTTACCACACAGCAACAACAGAGTACGATGAAGAAACCCTGAATAGCGCCGGCAGTACCGACTACCCAGGTCAAACGGATGAACAGGATCACGCCGAAGATATTCTGGATGCAAGGTAGGAAGACACCGATCAGCGTGCCCATTCGTGCTCCACCTGAGACAGGCTGTGGCTTCGCGTCTGGATCAGTTGCAGCTGGAATCGTGTTGCTGTAGTCCGACAGGCTGTTGAGCAATGTGGAGATCCGCGGCCGGACTTCCATCTCTTCCTGAAAGTTGAGGAACGCGGCTTATGGCGCCGTGTTGCTGAACAACTAGTCCATTTGTCGTCCACAATTTTTCTATGCTGTTACGTAGTGCAATATTCACGCAACCGTGTGTAATTTTACTTTTCTCAGGTGAGACGTGAATTCTGAACAAATTTTCCTCAGGTGAAATATGAAGGAAGAGGAATACTGGAAATTTTCCTCGGGTGTAACGCGAATGGAGAAGAATTCTGAAAATTTTCTCAGATGTAACGCGAACAAAGGAAAGTTCTGAAAATTTTCTCAGATGTAACGCGAACAAAGGAAAGTTCTGAAAATTTTCTCAGATGTAACGCGAACAAAGGAAAGTTCTGAAAATTTTCTCAGATGTAACGCGAACGAAGGAAAATTCTGAAATTTTCTCAGGTGCAACGCGAATGAAAAGAAGTTCTGTAAATTTTCTCAAATCCAACGCGAACGAAGGAAAATTCTGAAAATTTTCTCAGATATAACGCGAACGAAGAAAATTTCTGAAAATTTTCTCAGATGTAACGCGAACAAAGGAAAGTTCTGAAAATTTTCTCAGATGTAACGCGAACGAAGGAAAGTTCTGAAAATTTTCTCAAATCTAACGCGAACGAAGGAAACTTCTGAAAATTTTCTCAGATGTAACGCGAACGAAGGAAAATTCTGAAATTTTCTCAGGTGCAACGCGAATGAAAAGAAGTTTTGTAAATTTTCTCAAATCCAACGCGAACGAAGGAAAATTCTGAAAATTTTCTCAGGTGTAACGCGAATGAAGAAAAATTCTAAAACTTTTTCTTGAATCAAACCGAATGAAGAAAAATTGTGAAAATTTTCTCAGATGTAACGCGAACGAAGGAAAATTCTGAAATTTTCTCAGGTGTAACGCGAATGGAGAAGAATTCTGAAAATTTTCTCAGATGTAACGCGAATGAAGGAAAGTTCTGAAAATTTTCTCAAATCTAACGCGAACGAAGGAAAGTTCTGAAAGTTTTCTCAAATCTAACGCGAACGAAGGAAACTTCTGAAAATTTTCTCAGATGTAACGCGAACGAAGGAAAATTCTGAAAATTTTCTCAGGTGCAACGCGAATGAAAAGAAGTTTTGTAAATTTTCTCAAATCCAACGCGAACGAAGGAAAATTCTGAAAATTTTCTCAGGTGCAACGCGAATGAAAAGAAGTTTTGTAAATTTTCTCAAATCCAACGCGAACGAAGGAAAATTCTGAAAATTTTCTCAGGTGCAACGCGAATGAAAAGAAGTTTTGTAAATTTTCTCAAATCCAACGCGAACGAAGGAAAATTCTGAAAATTTTCTCAGGTGCAACGCGAATGAAAAGAAGTTTTGTAAATTTTCTCAAATCCAACGCGAACGAAGGAAAATTCTGAAAATTTTCTCAGGTGTAACGCGAATGAAGAAAAATTCTAAAACTTTTTCTTGAATCAAACACGAATGAAGAAAAATTGTGAAAATTTTCTCAAATCGAACAAAAACGAAGGAAAATTCTGAAAATTTTCTCAGATATAACGCGAACGAAGAAAATTTCTGAAAATTTTCTCAGATGTAACGCGAACGAAGGAAAGTTCTGAAAGTTTTCTCAAATCCAACGCGAACGAAGGAAAATTCTGAAAATTTTCTCAGGTGCAACGCGAACGAAGAGAAATTCCGAGAATTTTCCTCAGACGTAACGCGAACGAAAAGGAGTTCTGCAAATTTTCTCGGCGAACACAAAAAGATGGCGAAAACTTGGAGGAGTAGATTATAATGGATAGGAAGTCAAGCATAATTCGGGGAACTCGAGTGCAGCATACCAAAGGCTCGCTGTTCAGGCCAGCGTGAAACTTCCCATTAATTGGATCACTTTGAGATCGTTTCCACCTGGTGCACAGTTAGCCTAAATTTTCTTGGAATCGTCGAGTGGCTTTGGTAGACTATCAGACTCCAAGAATAAATTATCGAATACTTCGTTAGTCCAAATTACATTTCTACATTCTCATACAACGAATAAAATACCGTTCCCCTTTCGAAGCAATTGACATTTCACTCAGCCCGACCAAGCACGTATTTTTCTACTTCAATCTATCTATTACCCAGCTTCAAGAATTGTCCAATAAAAGTTTCTCCAATTCGCCTGGTAATTAACAATTAGAGAAATCGAAACTTCGCCTCGAAAAACCAATCGACGCTCCACAATGTCTGACCACGTACGCTCTTTTCTACTTACACTACTGCGGTTCGTTGAAAAGAGTGTAACGTCGCTCGACTCTATAAATTACCAGGGGAAACGGGGTCTTTTATAATTCTCCAGGACGTTCACGAGCAGCGGGGAGCGTTATTTAATTTTCTAACGCGATCACCAAGTTGGCCAAGCTTGCAATTTAAGCTCGAAAGGTGGTGGAATCCGAATGATTCATTATTGCGTCGCGCGGTTCTCGTTCTTCACTTTCGTCGGAGCTCCACAGAGAGGAGTAATTAAAAGAACCTGGCTGATTATAAATATTCAATGGGACAGAGGAAATTCGATCCTGTCGAGATGGGGGGAAAAAAGCCCGATAAATATACCGAACGGTCGCTCTAATTGGACGTTTTGCAGGGATTAATCAACGGACTGCTTAATTGATTAATCAACGAGACCTTTCTGCTCCCTGATTGCGCCGAGCAATTAATTTCTTCGAGTGAAAGAGATGCTGTATTTTTGAGAAAATTCAATCTGTCGAAAGGTATGCAAATTTTCTTAACGATCAACGTGGCGAATTTTTCCATCGACGGAGAAAGAGACGGTGTGTAATTGAAGAAAATATTCCAGAGAGATATTCTTCGGGAATAATTCTGAATTTACGAGACGAGGATTAATGGTCGTGGAGTAAAAAGTCTTTAGTCAGAGAGCAATTATAAAGAGGGAGGAAGTTTCAGGTGTTAAGTCAGGTTCCTTTCAGGTTCACGTTAGAACTGCGAATATTCATCGGCTGGGTGGAATTTCTTCGCGGAAGAAGAGGAAGAAGGGAAGTCGGTGAGTCGTGAGAGATGGAGTTTGCGAGATGTTCCTTTTAATTTCCTCGATCTTTCTTAATCCTCTTCGCGAATAGTCAACAAGAAGCTCCGGGCAGAAAAGTCGCTTTCAGCTTTAACGCGCTTATCAGCCTAACCGGAGAGGCTTATCGAGGTAGGGAGAGTCGATAAGGTGCTGTAGGATTCGATTTACGTTCGCGTCAAAGTCTCGCGAGTTTCGGCCAAGTTTCTCGCCCCGGCCCTAATCGAATTAGCCTCCTATCTAAGCGATACCACTAATTAATTGTTCGCCTGTGAGGTATCAATAAGCAGACTAAGTAGGCGACGAAATAATCGAGTGAGCGAAACGAATACAGGATGAAACAGACTAAGTGATAGGAGAAATCGCGTGAAATGGGATGTAAAAATATTTTTAGGAGTTTTTTTGAGAAATGTGAAATATCGACGACTAATTTGAATAGAAGGTGAAATAATAAAAGAAAAGAGAACGAGTATAAGATAGAACGAAGGATACGAAAAATCGCGAATATTTTTATGAAACGTGGAAACAAGAAAGAGCGGTGAACTAAAAGGCGGACAAGAAATTCTCATCATAAACCAGCGAGGATCTCGTAAACCGTGCGAATAAACAATCTCCTCGTAACGAGTTCGTTAAACTTGAAAGGAACGAATCTCGTAGACGGAACGTACGCAAATTAGCAAGCTTTTAAAGGGACGTAAAAAGAAACAGCGTTAAATCAGTTTCTTCTAGCTTCTTCTAAAGACTTAACGGCCCTTTAACTCGAACACACTCGTAAAAATCGTGTTTCCAATGTTTAGAATCTGGAAAACCCAACCAACTTCTCTCTGCTTCCGAAGCACGGGAAAAAAAGAAGAAGGAGAAAAGGCGAAAGGAAAGGAGTTCGATTAAATCAGCGTTGCGGAGTGTTCTCGCGTATCGCGGAAGGAAGCTTCAACAGCCCTTTAATTCAAAGGGGTAACTTGGATCGCTTTCAAGCCTGGAATTCACCGATCGACAAAAGGGATCGTGTTCTTCACGGTGGTCCAGGTGCAATCTTACGTAACGCGATCGTATTCTGCCAGAGAGATGCGGCAAGGAAACGGAAAAGGGGGAGGGAGAGAGAGAGAGAAAGAGAGAGAAAGAGAGAGAGGAGAGAGAGGAGGGAGAGAGAGGAGGGACAGAGAGAAAGAGAGGAGGGACAGAGAGAAAGAGAGGAGGAGAGAGAGAAAGAGAGAGGAGAGAGAGAGAAGGAGAGAGAGGAGAGAGAAAGAGAGAGGAGGGAGAAAGAGAAAGAGGAGGAGAGGGAGAAAGAGAAAGAGAGAGGAGGGAGAAAGAGAAAGAGGAGGAGAGGGAGAAAGAGAAAGATGAAGAGAGAGAGAAAGAGAGAGGAGAGAGAGGAGGGAGAGAGAAGGGAGAGAGAGAAAGAGAGAGAGAGGAGAGGGAGAGAAAGAGAGAGGAGACAGAGGAGGAGACAGAGGAGAGAGAGAGAGGAGAGAGAGAGAAAGAGAGACACATGGCCTCCGTTCTATAGCCGGTTAATTAACGTGCTCTCTTTGGCCTGTACGAGTCTCTCACAGAGTGAACCTCGCGGCGTGGTTTGGCTTCGACCTCGATTCCTGGATATCCAATTATCCGTTTCTCTTCTTGTTGCACACGCACACACGTATATACAACTCTTCCTCTGTCTGCCTCTAGATCCGTCGAGAATGATCTGCAACCAGGAGGACCAGGCCTTATCGTCGCTGATTTCCCGTGTATCTCTCCTATTCTCTCTATCCTCTGGCTTCTCCACAGCCTGGACTCCTCTTTCCAACCCCTCTTATCGAGGAAACGAGGCGAAAAAGCGGCGAAGAGGCTCCTTGGAACGCGGAGTGTCAGGGACTTCGCGTGTTCCGGATGAATTGGTACACGATCTGTGATCGTTCTCGCGATACCGTTGCGCCAGAGGGATTTCTGGTAGAGTGGCGAGTTTTTCTGCGAGAGGATCTCGCCGGTTGGAAGGCACCTTTCGTCCAGGAGTATCGGGGAATTTTTGTGAAAAACGGAGATCGAGGGAGAATTGTAACTTCAGTTTTTTCCGTGACTTTTCAAAAGTGCTGGATTATTTCTAACAACACCCTATGGAAATAATCAACTGAGGACAAAAATGTCTCCGCGTTCGTCTTCGAGTCACTACACACTGCGATACCATAAAGTAAACAGTTCCTAGGCATAAGGGGACACCAACTTTCGTTTTCGGTGCCCAGCAACAGTCCTTTAGAACATTCAATAGCGTAAAGACGTTTCCTCCGAGTCCGTCAATAAACAGCGTACCACAAAGTTAAAAGACTATTTCTTTTTCATAACCCATTTCCAATAAAGAGTATCGCGAAGGCATACGGCTGTATCGATCGAGCCACTCCACTGAATTTATCAAATTTTGTTCATTTGCGAGGAGTCAGGCGTTATGCGTGCGCTTTGACAGTAAAATTGGAAGAATTTCAAAAAATGGAGTTCAAGTTGATTATTTTCATTGGTAAAATCTTGATGTTGGGTTTTCTGTAGAAACGGTTTATGGCACGATCGACCGAGAACGGTTATTTTTGAGTTGAGGATTTTCGTTTATTGCTTGCACAGGTCTAATTACATCCTGCGAGGGTCGCTAGAATTGCTTTGCTAGATTTTTAGTAAATCGTGTCCCTCGCGCTCAACAGCCTACGAACATACCATAAACCACGAATTTCCGAACGGCACATCTGTATGTAACGGCCCGCTTGCCGATTAGTCACCCGGAGGAAATTCCAGATTTTTAGGACCTTCCGCCCACCCCTTCCAAGGTGACAGCGCGCTAAGGGCGCACTGGAAGGGCGGCAAAGACGGTATTAGACACGCTGATTGGCAAATGCAATCGTTAACCATTAATCAGCGTGTCCCAACAAAAATCCCTCTCACGGACGTCCGAGACGCGACGTCGGAGAGTTGTGTCGTCGAGTAGTCGTTCAACCACCACGAACAAGGAGAACCAAGGAGCAACCAGCTCACATCACGCGATACCATAGATCAGCTTTTACAAGTCCCAATCATATTGGGTGGTCCTTCGAACCAGTATCTAGACGTCACAACGTCGTTTACCATAGATCAGCTTTTACAAGTCCCAATCATTTGGGTGGTCCTTCGAACCAGTATCTAGACGTCACAACGTCGTCCAAACATCCACAAAGCTCGAAAGTTCATCGCCACGACCACGGGCATTAACACTTGACAAATGTGAGAAAAATAGTTGTACCAGTAAGAAAAGTTCATTAGAATCCTAACTTTCGTTCGAACTTCTAAGATTAAGAATTCCTAAATGTAATTAATCCGTAAGAAATTAGCTTCAGTTACCTGATACAGTACTAAAAAGTTAGACGCTTAGATGCACAGTCAGAAAAGAAGGCACAGGTTAAGAATGTAAACGAAAATAATTCGAAGGACAAGGAACGCGTTAATTTGCACAGTTAGAAAATTCGAAGAAAAATGTAGAAGTAAGGGTTAGAGGTGTGTGAATTTAACGAAGAATTTAGGAAAGAAGCCAAAGGCGACGTCGATTACAATAAGAAGAACCTAGAGAGACGCTCTCTCAGAGCAAGGAGTCCTCCTAGCGAAGCTAGACAAAAGGGAGGGAAAAAAGCGCCGACGAAGGACAATGTTTCGGACAATAAAAAAAAAAAAAGAAGAAGATGCACACAACCGAGGAGGAATCCATTCGCGGTTGTTCGTTGAACGACAATTAAGCGAATTGCATACTCGAGCGAATTCAACCCCTCTCTCTTTCTCTCTCGCCTTTGCGTTTTAATGAAGGACCCTTCTTTGGAGAAAAGGGAGCCTCCGTCGTCCCAGTTTTCTTATCCGTTCGGGGAAAGTAACTGGAATTCGCGTGAATTCGTACTTCGAACCTTTCTTCCTCCCGATTTTTCCGCACCTTTCTGGGTGAAATTAGGTGCACTGTCGTTTGTGAGCATTGGGACACTCGTGAATTACGTCTCTTCGTTAAATTTAACGTCGTATATTCGTTATGTCTCAGAACTCTCGAATGAATAATTTTTTCGTGACTTCTGTGAGTGAAATAATTTTATATTAAACTTGCAGCGACTAAGAGACTTGCTTCGCATTCGATGAGCGTAGAATTCAACAGATTTCGGTAGATTTTAACAGAGTTCAGTAGATTTCAATATAATTCAGCAAATTTTGGCAAATTTCAGCAGAGTTCAGTAGATTTCAATAGATTTCAGTACAATTCCGTAGATTTTAACAGAGTTCGGTAGATTTCAACAGATTTCCGTACAATTCAGTAGATTTTAGTAGACTTTACCAGAGTTCGGTAGATTTCGATAAATCCCGGTAGAACTCAGTACGCTTCACGTTCAATAAGCGTCCTAATTAATACTTACGAACACGACTGTACTATACATCCGCGTACTCGTTCACTTGATGCCGGCGTATTCGAGGTAAATCACTCGCGACCGGATTTGTCGGGAGCATGTAACGCGGTTGAACATTGAAATGGACGTGAATCGGAGTGAAATATATTTACTTACACTGTAGAGGAAGAGATTCGTCTGGTATTCCACCTTCTTCTCGGAATTGCCGTCGCCATCTCCACCGGCGCCGCCGCCATCGCCTGCAACAAGAATAAATTTCTCCTGTAAATTTCCTCTCATTATTCCTCCGTGTAACTCGGTGCAAAGGGAGAAAAGAAAAAAACAAGGAATTATCTCTCTCGGGATTTATTTCCATTCCTTGGAAATGCAAAATATCCCTTAATACCGCAAAAAAAAGAAAACTTCCATCCTGACTTCTGATTTAAACGAAAAGGGAAGAAAAGCGGAACGAGGAAGATTCGTAGGAAAGTTCCATTTGTAGAATTAAAACTAAAAAAGGTAGAAAAAGAGAAAATGTGCTTTTTCTGATTTTTTTTTTAAGGGAAAATGTCGACAGGAGAATTAAGACAGAAACTCGAATGGACTAAACCCGGTAGAAGTGGTTGGATTGCCCCGAAGTTTGTTTCTCTATTGATTTGAATATCCGTCTAATAGAAGGGACGACCAAGTTTTAATAGAAATACGACGGAAGCGGGAACGCTTTAGTTAAAAAGTTTTAATAGGCGTCGAGAGGGAAGCACACGCTGATAGATTCCAGTTTGTTTGCAACTCGGGGATTGGCTTTTCCAACTGCGATATGTTTTTTTTTTCTTCCCTTCTTTTTCCATCCCCCTCCCCGCCAACCACGTCGATGTTCTTTTGTTTCCCTTTCAAACAGCAGAACCGCAGTCGCCAATTCGGCTCGTATCGAAATTCTGTCGAGCTTTTCTTTCCTACCGTGAACCAATTAATTGTAAACAAATAGACGGAGGCGAAACATTATTTTATTTGCCAAGCTCCGATTGGAAAAACCGAGGGAAAATTGGAGCAGCACGAAGCTTTGTGGCTTTTCATTCGAAAATTATGAAAAAAAAGAAAAAATAAGAAATTATTGAAAAATGCCGAAATTCGTTCAATTTGGAAGCACAATGGGAATTCTGACATTCGTTAAATTTGGAAATTCATTCGAAAATTATGAAAAAAAAGAAAAAATAAGAAATTATTGAAAAATGCCGAAATTCGTTAAATTTGGAAACACAATGGGAATTCTGACATTCGTTAAATTTGGAGCACAATGGGAATTCTAAAATTCGTTAAATTTGGAGCACAATGGGAATTCTAAAATTCGTTAAAGTTGGAAGCACAATGGGAATTCTGAAATTCGTTAAATTTGGAGCACAATGGGAATTCTGAAATTCGTTAAATTTGGAGCACAATGGGAATTCTAAAATTCGTTAAAGTTGGAAGCACAATAGGAATTCTAAAATTCGTTAAATTTGAAGCACAATGGGAATTCTGAAATTCGTTAAATTTGGAGCACAATGGGAATTTTGAAATTCGTTAAATTTGGAAACACAATGGGAATTCTGAAATTCGTTAAATTTGGAGCACAATGGGAATTCTGACATTCGTTAAATTTGGAGCACAATGGGAATTCTAAAATTCGTTAAATTTGGAAACACAATGGGAATTCTAAAATTTGTTAAATTTGGAAGCACAATGGGAATTCTGAAATTCGTTAAATTTGGAGCACAATGGGAATTCTAAAATTCGTTAAATTTGGAGCACAATGGGAATTCTAAAATTCGTTAAATTTGGAGCACAATGGGAATTCTAAAATTCGTTAAATTTGGAGCACAATAGGAGTTCAAAGTATTCCGTATTCAACGCGGGGAAAATAACGTCGAGTGTAATAAGAGGATAACAGATTTTTCCTACGTTTGTACAATGATAAGCTTGTACGAAGTATTTGCATGCATCCAGCGTAAAGACGATTCCGGGGGAATCTCACGTAACAGAAAGCTCTGTCCTTATCTTTATTCCAGACCGTAAAACGCTTCTCGCGTTACGACACGACGGAAAATAGCGCGATAACGGAAAAAGAGATCCGCGGACACGTAAGATTCCGTGGAAAATATCGCTCAGACGACGAGAATTCGCGTTAACGCCGATACCGAGGCAAGGATGCAACGATGCGTTCGTTCCAGCATGCATTTCTCGTGCTCATCCACGTGAAATTTATCTGCGTTCCTTCGCTGCCCCCGCGATAAAGGTAATAATAAGGAATCTGAAGTTTATGCAACGATATTCCGCAATGCACTCCTTTTCCTTCGGAGTGTCGTACTTATTTCCAACCATTCTTATATCTTTCGATATATTTTAGAGTACGTTTCCCAGTATTTTTTGGTCGCCGTGTGAATTTTCAGGAGATTTTCATCTATGCAAGGATTTAAGGTGGAAGAGTTCTATGGCTAGTAGTACAAGTCAATCATTCAGGTATCTTTAAGATAAATACATTCTAATAAAGTAATTACCATATGAATTTTCTGGAGATATTGGTTTGTGTAACAATTTAAAGTGGAAGAATTCAATTGCTAGTAGTACAAGTCAATCATTCTGGTAAACTACCTAAGGTACATTAACCTAAGAGTAATTCCTCACGTTTTGAAATATCTATTAGTACTACATTACCCTAATACACGATCACTTTTCCTCTACAACTTCCTACCAATCATTCTTATCTCAGAAAACTCGAAATCAAGTAGTGCAAGTCAACGCATCAGTCGCCACTCCTTAATTCCACGAAATTTTCAGTTTCCAATTTGTTCAGCCATCGAGAACGATGTTTATACGTACTATTAATCCTATTAGAACGAACGAAGTCGTGCAGATAGAGTAGAAGTGTTGCAGATAGAGTAGGAGTGTCGTAGATAGAGCAGGAGTGTTGTAGATAAAGCAGAAGTGTTGTGAGAGTCGTGCAGATAGAGTAGAAGTGTTGCAGATAGAGTAGGAGTGTCGTAGATAGAGCAGGAGTGTCGTAGATAGAGCAGAAGTGTTGTGAGAGTCGTGCAGATAGAGTAGAAGTGTTGCAGATAGAGTAGGAGTGTCGTAGATAGAGCAGGAGTGTCGTAGATAGAGCAGAAGTGTTGTGAGAGTCGTGCAGATAGAGTAGAAGTGTTGCAGATAGAGTAGGAGTGTCGTAGATAGAGCAGGAGTGTCGTAGATAGAGCAGAAGTGTTGTGAGAGTCGTGCAGATAGAGTAGAAGTGTTGCAGATAGAGTAGGAGTGTCGTAGATAGAGCAGGAGTGTCGTAGATAGAGCAGAAGTGTTGTGAGAGTCGTGCAGATAGAGTAGAAGTGTTGCAGATAGAGTAGGAGTGTCGTAGATAGAGCAGAAGTGTTGTGAGAGTCGTGCAGATAGAGTAGAAGTGTTGCAGATAGAGTAGGAGTGTCGTAGATAGAGCAGGAGTGTTGTAGATAAAGCAGAAGTGTTGTGAGAGTCGTGCAGATAGAGTAGAAGTGTTGCAGATAGAGTAGGAGTGTCGTAGATAGAGCAGAAGTGTTGTGAGAGTCGTGCAGATAGAGTAGAAGTGTTGCAGATAGAGTAGGAGTGTCGTAGATAGAGCAGGAGTGTTGTAGATAAAGCAGAAGTGTTGTGAGAGTCGTGCAGATAGAGTAGAAGTGTTGCAGATAGAGTAGGAGTGTCGTAGATAGAGCAGGAGTGTCGTAGATAGAGCAGAAGTGTTGTGAGAGTCGTGCAGATAGAGTAGAAGTGTTGCAGATAGAGTAGGAGTGTCGTAGATAGAGCAGGAGTGTCGTAGATAGAGCAGAAGTGTTGTGAGAGTCGTGCAGATAGAGTAGAAGTGTTGCAGATAGAGTAGGAGTGTCGTAGATAGAGCAGGAGTGTCGTAGATAGAGCAGAAGTGTTGTGAGAGTCGTGCAGATAGAGTAGAAGTGTTGCAGATAGAGTAGGAGTGTCGTAGATAGAGTAGGAGTGTCGTAGATAGAGCAGGAGTGTTGTAGATAAAGCAGAAGTGTTGTGAGAGTCGTGCAGATAGAGTAGAAGTGTTGCAGATAGAGTAGGAGTGTTGTAGATAGAGCAGGAGTGTTGTAGATAAAGCAGAAGTGTTGTGAGAGTCGTGCAGATAGAGTAGAAGTGTTGCAGATAGAGTAGGAGTGTTGTAGATAGAGCAGGAGTGTTGTAGATAAAGCAGAAGTGTTGTGAGAGTCGTGCAGATAGAGTAGAAGTGTTGCAGATAGAGTAGGAGTGTCGTAGATAGAGCAGGAGTGTCGTAGATAGAGCAGGAGTGTTGTAGATAGAGCAGAAGTGTTGTAAGTGTCGTCAGGGAATTGCAGATAGAGCAGGAGTGTTGTAAGAGTTATGCAGATAGAGTAGGAGTGTCGTAGATAGAGCAGGAGTGTCGTAGATAGAGCAGAAGTGTTGTGAGAGTCGTGCAGATAGAGTAGAAGTGTTGCAGATAGAGTAGGAGTGTCGTAGATAGAGTAGGAGTGTCGTAGATAGAGTAGGAGTGTCGTAGATAGAGTAGGAGTGTCGTAGATAGAGCAGGAGTGTTGTAAGAGTCGTCAGAGAATTGCAGATAGAGCAGGAGTGTTGTAAGAGTCGTCAGAGAATTGCAGATAGAGTAGGAGTGTTGTAGATAGAGTAGGAGTGTCGTAGATAGAGCAGGAGTGTTGTAAGAGTCGTCAGAGAATTGCAGATAGAGCAGGAGTGTTGTAAGAGTCGTGCAGATAGAGTAGAAGTGTTGCAGATAGAGTAGGAGTGTTGTAGATAGAGCAGGAGTGTTGTAGATAAAGCAGAAGTGTTGTGAGAGTCGTGCAGATAGAGTAGAAGTGTTGCAGATAGAGTAGGAGTGTCGTAGATAAAGCAGGAGTGTTGTAGATAAAGCACAGGTGTTGTAAGAGTCGTCAGAGTATTCTAGATAAAGCAGGAGTGTTGTAAGGGTTATGCAGATAGAGTAGAAGTGTTGCAGATAGAGTAGGAGTGTCGTAGATAGAGCAGGATTGTCGTAGATAGAGCAGAGGTGTTGTAAGAGTCATGCAGATAGAGTAGAAGTGTTGCAGATAGAGTCAGTGTTAGAGAGAGCACAAGTGCTGTAACAGACTTGGAGACACAATATTGTAGATAGAGTACAACTGTTATTAGAGTTGCCTAACAGTTGTCAAATTACTATTACATCCATTTATCACATTACATTATAACTATTATATGAAAAACACTTAACAACACAAATTCTACACCT